CTCCCTCTAACAAGGTTCCTTCCTTCCTTCCTTCCTTCCTTCCTTCCTTTCCTTCCTTCCTTTTCCTCCCTCCCTTCTTCCCACAATCATAGTTTTTAGGAGGTCTTCTAGTCCAACCCCCTCCCTGCCTAGGCAGGAAACCCTACACCACTTCAGACAAAGGATTATCCAATCTCTTCTGAAAGACTTCCAGTGTTGGGGCATTCACAACTTCAGGAGGCAACTTCTGTTCCACTGATTGATTCTTCTAGCTGTCAGGAAATTTCTCCTTAGTTCTAAGTTGCTTCTCTCCTTGATTAGTTTCCACCCATTGCTTCTTGTCCTGCCGCCTTCTGGTGCTTTGGAGAATAGCTTGACTCCCTCTTCTTGGTGGCAACCCCTGAGATATTGGAAGACTGGTTAAAGAGAGTCCTCTTTGTTGGAGAGCCGACAGACGACACGGCCTTCTTCGTAGAAATCTTGCTGCTTTTTAGAAAGAGCCCCCATGATTCCTGCATTTGAATGGAAAGGTCAGAACAGACCTCGGAGACGTTACGACCACCTCAAGAACCTCAAATAATATTCCACAGTCACCTTCCAGGACCTCTTTCCTAGCAGACCCTTCGGAGCAGCTGACCACTCTGTTATCCTTGATGTTAAACCAAGACCACCTACACGGCATAAGGAAGCCAAAATAGGCTGTGAGACAAGGAGGCATTTGATTTTAAAAGGGGAAGGGAGGTTTCCTGTATTTTATTTTATTTTTTAGTAGAGGGGTGGGAGGGTGGGGAATAGGAGTCTTCTCCAAGCCGAGCCAGTCAACCCTCCAATCCATGTGCAACTCTGGCATAAAAGCCAAGAGGCTACCTGTTCGGTTTCTGTGACTGCAAGGAGAAGGACTTCTCTCCGACTTTTGGGAATATTCGTTTCAATCCAAACTGGAGTAAATCTTTCTCATTTCTGCTGTTCTCATCTTATTGTTCTGACTAATAGTGAAAGCCGTGGATTCCTCCATAGTCGTGCATGAGAGGTGGACCATGAGGAAGGGGGAGAGCCAAAGAACGATGCTTTCGAATTGGGGTTCCGGAGAAGACCTTTGAGCAGAGGTCTTCAAACTTGGCAACTTTAAGACAGTTTTAGGAGTTTTACAATCTTTTTATTAGAATTTCAGAGGTCAGTTGGTGCCATCTGGTGGCATTCTCTGGCCAAGCCAAAGCATCTGCATCCCTCCCTCCCACCCTGCCCGGGACTTCAGGCCGCGTAGCAGGGAAGAAAGCAGAGCGTAGTAGTTGCGTCACGTGTGTGTGTGTGTGTGTGTGTGTTTGACTGCCTGTAATGAGATTCTTTCTGTCTAATGCAGAGGTGTCCAAACTTGGGAACTTTTAAGACTTGTGGACTTCAACTCCCAGAATGCTGGCTGGGGAATTCTGGGAGTTGAAGTCCACAAGTCTTAAAGTTCCCAAGTTTGGAGACCTCTGATCTAAGAGTTTGCAGAGGAAGGAAAGAATCACAAGAGAGAAAGTTATGATGACTGGGGAATTCTGGGAGTTGAAGTCCACAAGTCTTAAAACTTCCCAAGGTTGGAGACCCCCTGGTCTAATGCGTTGGCCATCCCCCTTGAGCTGCTGCGTTCGGAGGCTGGATGGTTCAAATCCCTGCAGCTACCTGCCCAGCGCCATCATGGGGGCAGGAGATGAAAAGGGCCTTTAAAATGAAACGTGGATTATACGCTTGACAAGTTTGCAGAGTTTTTCCTGTACAGAAAGAGCTGATAAAAAGAGAAGCTCTCCGCCCCCCAAATCCTCCGGAGCAGAGCACCCCCCCCTAAGGCTAGACCCAGGCAGCTTTTCACAAGTAGTCCTTGACTTACAACAGCTTATTCAATGACCGTTCGAAGTTACAATGGCACGGAAAATAGGGGCTCATAACTGCAGCCGGATCCACGCTTACGACCACTGCAGGATTCCTCATGTTCCCATGATCAAAATTCATCAGATTGGCAGCTGATTCCTACTTACGACGGTTGCCATGTCCCTTTTGCAAGCAAAGTCAACGGGGAATCCGGGTCCCCTTAACAACGGCGTTGCTGTCTTAACAAATGCAATGATTCACTTAACAACCGTGGCAAGAATAGTGGTAAAATGGGGCAAAACTCACTTAACAAATATCTTCACATAGCCGCCAGAGGTGAGTTCCTGCCAGTACGGAACGGTTCGGCCGAACAGGTAGTAACTCTGGCAGATACGTGGCTGTACCGGTTCTCTCCTTGGCAGCCTCTTCATTTTCATGCCTGTTTTCTGTACATTTTCCGTTCTGCACATGCGCAGAACAATCTTCATTGAAAAAAATGTTGTTGTTTTTTCCCTTTTTTAATGTTGTGTGCATGAACAGGACGTTTTCAGTGCAAACGCACACGCGCCCAGAGCAAAAATTTGCGGGTACCGAACCGGTAGTAATGGTAGCAGGAACCTTCCCCTGGCAGCTGCGTGGGTTTTGGGGTCAATTGTTGTTGTAACTTGAGGACTACCTGTACTGTACAAGAGGAAGGCGTCCTGTTCTTCTTCCACCCTCACCTCGTTTCTTCCCTCCTGAAAAAGCGGGAGGTAGAAAAACCCCTGAATAATAGAGAAAAACAGCGATGGGATCCAATCATTGTGAAGGCCGCCACCTTTTTCCAAACTTTTTCCAAACAAAGCACAATTTCACAAGACCGAGGGAACCAAGTTAAGTAGACTTTTGAAGAACTGGTTTGGGCCAGTGCACAGCCAGCATCCTTGAATTAAGACCCGTATGGAGCCTGCCCATAACTCATGACGGCCGTAAATCAAGGCACCCACCGGGGGCTGACCTGATTTTACAACCTTTTCTCTCTTTTTTTTTTGCAGCGGTTGTTAAGCGAGCCTGTGGCTCTCCATGATTCCGTTTCATAAAATAAAATAAAAAATGGAAATAAATACCGGGTTTTGATGTGGGGGCAGCAGGAGGTGGCACAGTGGTTAGAGTGCAGTACTGCAGGCTACTTCAGCTGACTGCTAGCTGTGGTTCAGCGGTTCAAATCTCACCGGCTCAGGGTTGACTCAGCCTTCCATCCTTCCGAGGTGGGTAAAATGAGGACCCGGATTGTTGTTGGGGGCGATATGCTGACTCTGTAAACCGCTTAGAGAGGGCTGAAAGCCCTAGGAAGCGGTATAGAAGTCTAACTGCTATTGCTAACTGCTATTGCTAAATGGCAGTAACTTTTGTTCAAATGTTGCTGACTGACCAAGGGAGGTCCTGTTTCTGCAGGGGCCGGGCTGGGTTTGGGCCCAACCGTCAGAACCCCAAGTATTTTCCCCAAGTAGATCAGCCGTAACTCTGAATGATTGCTAAGCCACTGGTCGTAAAGGGAGGATGTGCCTGGGTTAAACCTGCAGGAAAGAAAACCCTGCCCTTCCCTCCAGAGTGAGGGAGAGAAAGACGGCAGGTTCCGCCTTAAACAACGAAGTTTGCCCAAGGTTTAGCTCTTCGCTTCTCCCACATTCCTCTTGGCTCTTGCTGTCCTGGTGACCAGAGGCAACGTTGCAACAGTCAATCATGTTGAATATCAAACTCGCTCTGGGAAGCCTCCCCCTGCGGCCACAGCTCCACACCAAGGCAGTCACAAAACACAATTCAAACAACTCTGCAGAGAGAAAGCAGGAGCTTCAAAAGGGGGCGAGATGCACCACAACAGGGGCACTAAAACGGCCCGGTTTTCTTACATTCTGAGCCTCCAACTTTTTCTCTGGACGAACAAAACCATAAATTAGAACTGCTGGGGCCCTGCCTGTATTCTGGTCAAGGATTCTAGGCATCTGTTCCATGGTATCCAGCGGTGGGCGATGATCAGGAAAGTTGCATGGGGGGGGGCGGAACTGGTCTTTCAAACACGGGATCTCTGGGAATGAGAACTTTGCATCTGTGTGATGTAAGGTAAGGTTCATAAAAGCCCAGGAACATGGATTGGCGTTATATTTATGTATTCTCCCTCTATCTTTATGCCTGAATTGCAACAACAAACCCATAATCAGTCATATCCGATTGTTATGCTTTGCTTTGAGACAAACACATGACCCAGATTGAACCAATATCATTTGAAGAGGTGTCGCATTCACTCAACAGAGGCCAAGAGGAAAATTGGTTTGGGGGGCGGGGGCAGGTTCTTGGTAGCCCTCAACATACAACCATGAGCCCAGAATTAGTAATAGGTTATACTGATCATTAAACGGTCATCAAAATTCCACATCTGGGTCATCTGACGGACTTCCTCAAGTTATGAGGAAGTCCGTCATAACTTTGAATGGCCTCTTGAGCAACCAAATATCCTTAATTGAAAACTATCTGTACACTTCTATCCATCTGAGTGGACTACAGGACACTGGAGCTATATTACTTTCTGCTTTTCAGTGCTGTGAAAGGATTGGCCATTCCCCCAAAAAATATTTTCCTAAGCCCAATTTCTTATTTCCAGACTCTGCCTCATGTTTCGCAAGAGCATAAAGTCCCCTTCATCTTGTAGGTGTTTTTTTTTTTTTAAGTCTTAAGAATGGATTAGAATCACCTAAATCTCTGTATTCCTAAAACAACACATCTTTTTTCCAAGTGTGGCTTCTGGAGCCACTATATCACAAAGGCCCAGTCTCCAAACAGGAGGGAGGTGGGGGGAAATGTGTGAAAAGCCAGAGGGAATTACTTTCTCGTACCTGAATTATGTGTTGTGACCTCTGCTCCTCCCTTTCACTTCCTTTGAGTCCTATGCTGATTATTATTCCTCAGAGCTCTCCTGAATACTCCCCCCGCTCCAAACCCACACCTTTTCTGTGGAAGTTTCCTCTCCTTCCTGGTCGCCATGGGGGCCAAGCTGGCATAGCCGAGAGTCCTTGCCATGCTCGCTTGAAGGAACGACTTCTTCTTTGCAAACACACTGCGGGGAAAGGCTTCAGGACAGAGTCTCAATTGGCTTCTGGAAGCGTTTGCCGTTTTCTCTGAACTTGCTCACGTCAACCGTGGCTAGAAATGTTCTCACCCTCCTTGCAAGCGGGAGTTGCAGTTTGGGGAAATGATTTGAACAAGCACGGGAGGCGGCTTGGATTCCCACTGCTAAATTACAGTGAAATTTACCAAAACAGAGTAAATGCCCCCCCCCCCCGGACTTTCAACCTGAATGTTTGAACAAAGTTGCCCCCGTTATCTACTGTAGAAAGGGGAGGGAGACAAACATTAGTTTGAAGAAACATAAAATACGTAGGGAACCAAGGCTACAGCCAGATCATCAAGTAGGCATATACTCAACACGTGATCGAGAAAATCTCATACTATATTTGGTTCCACCACAAATCCGCGGTAGACTAAAGCGCGCTCGACGAAAGCGCGNCAGACCCTCAAGGGAACGGGAGAGAAGCCCCCTTGGACCAGCCCGGGGGGCCACCTTCTCCTTCTGCAGGTGGGCTCACCTGCAATGGCCTCGTAGAGAACGGCCTTGTAATCCAGGTATTCGTAGTCCTCAAACTTCTGAGGACCTTCGCACAAGATCCGGCACTCAGAGTCAGCAGCTTCGTAATCCTTCAGGGCCTGTTCCAGGAGGCCAATGGCCGCATCGTATTCCTCTCGGTCGTAATGCCGGATTCCGGACAGATAATTCTCCTGGAAGGGACAAGAAGACCCCCTGAGGCCAAGGCTGAGGAGGAAACACCTCCCTGACTACCTTCACTGAGCAGGGGCTGGGCTTCATGACCTCAAGGAGCCCCTTCCAACATGGGGACTCTGCGCAGATGTGGGGGAAAACATTGTAGTCGTACAGTTGGTCCCTGACTTACAACCACAGCTGGGACCAGGATTTCCACTGCAAAACCAGGAGGTTGTTGAGTGAGTCGCACTCAATGTTATCATCTTCTTTGCCACGGTTGTTAAGCGAATTGCTGCATTTGTTAAGGGGCGCATGCCGTCGTTAAGCGAATCCGGCTTCCCCCGATTGACTTTGTTTGTTAGCTTGTTGGCTGGGAAGGTCAGTAATGGCGATCACTGTGCGACTGTCATAAGTACGAGATGGTGGCTGAAATCCATGTGACCATGAGCCTACTGCAATGGTCATAAGTGCGAGGATCATTCTTCACTCTCTGACTTCAGCTTCCTTCCTTCTTTCCTTCCTTCCTCCCCTTTTCTTTCTCTCTCTTTCTTCCTTTCTTCTTTTCTCACTTCCTTCCTTCCTTTCTTTTTTCTTTCTCTTTTTCTCCTTCCTTCCTCCCACTTTCTTTTCTCTCTCTTCCTTTCTTCTTTTATCACTTCCTTCCTTTCTTTTTCTCTCTCTTTTTCTCCTTCCTCCCTCCCACTTTCTTTTTTCTCTCTTCCTTTCTTCTTTTATCACTTCCTTCCTTTCTTTTTCTCTCTCTTTTTCTCCTTCCTCCCTCCCACTTTCTTTTTTCTCTCTTCCTTTCTTCTTTTATCACTTCCTTCCTTTCTTTTTCTCTCTCTTTTTCTCCTTCCTCCCTCCCACTTTCTTTTTTCTCTCTTCCTTTCTTCTTTTATCACTT